TTTGTCACATCTTGCACAGAAAGTAACCTTACATGAACAGAGGTTTGCAGAAGCCAAGAAGAGCTTCAAAAAGATCAATTACGTATGTCCTTACATGTAAGGATCTGATGACGATGATGATGATTCTGAAGTAGTAGCAGCCGAGTGGGTTAGGAGTAAGAAAGTTATACCATGCCAATGGGTGAGAAGTTCTGGAAAAGAAGAGAGGTATGACTTTGACATTACCAAGGCTGATAAGATCTTTGATCTGTTACTTCGGGAAAAGCAGATCCAACTTCTTGCCGGTCATACAATCCCATCGACTGAGGAATAAGGTATTGCAAGTGGCACAACTCTGGGTCTCATTCTACTAATGATTGCAAAGTCTTCAGACAGCATATCCAGGCGGCTATTGAGGGAGGGAAAATAAAGTTTGATGACTCCAAGAAGCCGATGAAGGTTGATGGCGATCCTTTTCCTGTCAATATGGTGCATACAGCTAGCCGAACAGTCGATGAAGGAAAGACTCGAGGTTTTCAAGTGAATTCGGCTAAAATTATTAACAAGTACCAGAGGAAGTATGATAAGCAGGAGGAGAGGTATTATGAAGGAGATGATGGTGGTTTTGACCCTCATTGGGGCTGCGAGTTTTTCAGATTTTGTTGGAATGAAGGTATGAGGCTGCCATCTATCTAGGATTGCTCTGGGTGCAGTAATGTTGCAGAAAGTTCGGGCCGATCTTATAATAAAAATAATCGGCTGAGGCAAACAAGGGTTCCTGTTCATCAAAAATTGGGCCCGGTGAAACAAGATCATGACCAAGAGGACGACAAGGACAGAAAAACTCAATGGTGTCCTTCTGGTATTTTTACGAAGAATCAAAAGAGAAGGGTTCAAAGGTTGAGGAACAGGGAACGCTTTCAAGAGGTTGAGCAAGAAATCAACCATCGGCTGAAGAAGGCAAAGCCAAGGTAGGAGTGGCGTGTTAAGAACCTAGCTGCTGTAGCCGATGAACCCGAAGCTGATGAAGCAAAAAGATTGGCTAAGGGGAAAAGTGTTGTAACTGCATCGGTTAACATGGTCTTCGCGTTGCCTGCAGAATTTGGAGCCAAACAGGCCGATGTTGATGAAGTTGAGGAAGCATTGGCTAGGTTGGTTTTGTCACCAGAACAGGCGGTTTTTGAGAAGCCAGAGGGGACAGAGAATCGGCATCTTAAACCATTGTATGTAAATGGATATGTCAATGGGAAGCCGATGTCCAAGATGATGGTTGATGGTGGGGCTGCTGTGAATTTGATGCCATATGCTACATTCAGGAAGCTGGGCAGAAATACTGAAGACCTCATCAAGACAAACATGGTTCTCAAAGATTTCGGTGGCAATCCATCAGAAACCAAAGGGGTTTTAAATGTGGAGCTGACAGTCGGCAGTAAAACCATCCCTACAATATTTTTTTTGTCATCGATGGGAAGGGTTCCTACAGCTTTTTGCTTGGAAGGGATTGGATTCATGCTAATTGTTGTATTCCTTCAACCATGCATCATTGCTTGATTCAATGGCAAGGCAACAAGATTGAAATCGTGCCAGCCGACAGGTCAGTTAACGTTGTCTGTGCCGATTTAGCTCTTTGGGAGATGGACGGCATTGATTGCTTGTCTGGAAAAGTTTGGGAAGGAGATTTTCTAAAAGTGTCCGATTGTGATATACAACCAATTGAAGATGGAGAGCCCAAGTTATTATTTTGAGGGCGTCGTGGAGGGTTCAAATGTCTACACCAAGGACATAGTAGATGATCTCGATGACAAGCAGGGGCAAGGTTTCATGTCGGCCAATGATTTGGAAGAAATTTATATAGGTCCAGGTGATCGACCAAGGCCGACATTTATCAGTAAGAATTTGTCTCCAGAATTTAGGACCAAGTTGATAGTGCTTTTAAAGGAATTCAGAGATTGCTTTGCTTGGGAGTATTATGAGATGTCAGGACTCAGCCGATCAATTGTTGAACATCGACTACCTATCAAACCGGGGGTTAGACCGCACCAGCAGCCCCCGAGAGGATGCAAAGCCGATATGCTCGAGCCTGTTAAAGCTGAAATTAAACGTCTGTATGATGCTGATTTTATTCGTCCTTGTCGATATGTCGAGTGGGTTTCCAGCATAGTTCCAGTTATCAAGAAGAATGGCAAAGTCAGGGTGTGCATTGATTTCCGAGACTTAAACAAAGCTACCCCAAAGGATGAATATCCAATGCCAGGAGCCGATCAACTGGTTGATACTGCTTCAGGGCACAAGATTTTGAGTTTTATGGATGGTAATGCAGGGTACAATCAGATCTTTATGGCTGAAGAAGATATCCATAAGACGGCTTTTCGGTGTCCTGGTGCAATCGGCTTATTTGAGTGGGTTGTGATGACGTTCGGCCTGAAAAGTGCTGGAGCTACATATCAACGGGCTATGAATTACATATACCATGACTTAATCGGCTGGTTGGTTGAGGTCTATATTGATGATGTGGTTGTTAAATCCAAGGAAATAGAGGACCACATAGCTAATTTGAGGAAGGTTTTTGAGAGGACTAGGAAGTATGGCCTAAAGATGAATCCGACAATGTGTGCTTTTGGCGTATCGGCTGGCCAATTTTTGGTATTTCTTGTTCATGAGAGGGGGATTGAAATAACTCAGAGAAATGTTAATGCGATCAAGAAAATTCAACCTCTAGAAAACAAGACGGAATTGCAGGAGATGATCGGCAAGATAAATTTTGTTAGAAGGTTTATCTCTAATTTGTCTGGAAGATTAGAGCCTTTTACGCCATTGTTGAGGTTGAAAGCCAATCAAAAGTTTATTTGGGGGGCAGAGCAGCAGAAGGCTTTGGATAGTATTAAAGAGTATCTCAGCTCTCCTCCAGTTTTGATTCCTCCACAAAAGGGGATACTTTTTAGATTATATCTATCAGCTGGTGAGAAGTCAATCGGCTCGGTTTTGATTCAAGAGCTTGAAGGAAAAGAAAGAGTTGTGTTTTATTTAAGCCGTCAGCTCTTGGATGCAGAAACAAGATATTCTCCGGTGGAGAAGTTGTGTTTGTCCTTGTATTTTTCCTATACAAGGTTAAGGCATTATCTATTGTCCAATGAATGCACTGTAATATGCAAGGCCGATGTGGTCAAGTACATGTTATCGGCTCCGATTTTGAAAGCAAGAATTGGAAAGTGGATATTCTCCTTAATGGAATTTGATCTTCGGTATGAGTCGCCGAAGGCAATCAAGGGGCAAACTATAGCCGATTTTATTGTTGATCATCGTGATAATTCAATCGGCTCGGTTGATATTGTGCCCTGGACTTTGTTTTTCGATGGATCGGTGTGCACTCATGGTTGTGGTATCGTCTTGATTATAATTTCCCCTCGGGGGGCAAGTTTTGAGTTTGCTTACACTATTAAACTTTATGCAACTAACAATCAGGCTGAGTATGAAGCGGTTCTCAAAGGGTTGCAATTACTCAAGGAAGTTGAAGCCGATGCTGTTGAGATTATGGGTGATTCTTTGCTGGTGATCAATCAATTGGCAGGAGAGTATGAGTGCAAAAATGATACATTAATGGTTTACAATGGGAAATGCTAAGAATTGATGAAAGGATTTCAGCTAGTGACTTTGAAGCATGTATCCTGAGAACAAAATGTTGAAGCTAATGATTAAGGGGCATCGGATTACAAGCCGATGATGAAGGATGTCAAAGTAGAAATTGCCACAATAACAGCCGATGATTGGAGGTATGATGTGCATCATTATCTGCAAAATCCATCTCAATCGGCTTCTCGGAAATTGCGATATAAGGCTTTGAAGTATACCTTGTTGGATGATGAGCTCTATTATCGGACGATTGATGGGGTGCTGCTTAAATGTTTAAGTGCCGATCAAGCTAACGTTGCAATCGGCGAGGTGCATGATGGAATTTGTGGAACTCATCAATCGGCTCATAAGATAAAATGGTTGCTTAGACATGTAGGATATTTTTGGCCGACAATGCTAGAGAATTGTTTCAAGTATTATAAAGGATGTCAAGATTGTCAAAAGTTTGGAGCAATTCAAAGAGCACCAGCATCGGCTATGAATCCTATCATCAAACCGTGGCTATTCAGAGGTTGGGGAATTGATATGATCGGTATGATTAACCCACTCTCGAGTAAAGGACACAAGTTTATCTTGGTGGCAACCGATTACTTTACCAAGTGGGTAGAGGCGATTCCTTTGAAGAAAGTTGATTCTGGGGATGCTATACAATTTGTTCAAGAGCATATAATTTACCAATTTGATATTCCTCAAACCATTACAACCGATCAAGTTTCGATCTTCGTGTCCGATGAGTTTGTTCAGTTTGACTCGCGCGGCGAATTTTTGTCAATTGGTGCCAATATTGGCATATGTGGGTGTGATGTTTTTCACTAAAAAAAGTTTAAAAACACCAAAACATGAGTTTTGGACATATTGGAGTGGATTTGATGCGTTCGTCTCCTCGTGACTCGTGAGGCGAACTTTTGTCATTTAATGCCGATATTAGCACACATAGGTGTGATGTTTTGTTCGGAACGAAAATGTTCAAAAAGCAAAAAAAAACATAAGTTTTGGATATATAGTAGTGGATTGGGTGCGTCCCTTTGGAAAAATCTCTGTGTGACTTGCGCGGTGAACTTTTTTCAATGAATGCTAATATTAGCCCAAATGGCACTCGTGGGTGCGATGTTTTTCACTGGGTCGAAAATATTCAAAAAACACCAAAACATGACTTATGGACATATTGGAGTGGATTGGGTGTGTTCGTTTCAAAACATTTCTCCATGACTAGCATGGCAAAGTTTTGTCTTTTAATGCCTTATATTGGCAGGTGCAATGCATTTCACCGGAACGAAAAAGTTTAAAAAGCACAAAACCATGAGTTTTGGACATATTGGAGTGGGTTAGGTGCGTCCGTTTCGAAAAATCTTTATGTGGCTTGCGTGTGGGGACACCCAATTTAGGCTTGGTGCCCCAAAAATCCACTCGTGATCGTCCAGGATTTCGATCACGCACAGATTGATATACAGAACAGCTTTCAATTATTTACACAGGTTTGTTCATACAAGCTAATTATACTACTGTTAAAAGGTGAAAAGATCCAAACTAAAATATCCTTATTTGAAATACAAGAAAATCCAAAGTACTAAACTCCTAAACTTATTCAACTACTAGAACTACAATTAATAAATTCCAAAGAATTTCAAAGAACTCCACAGGCAAAAGCTCGAGTGTAGACTATCCTAGAAAAACTTATCGTTGTCGTAGATCTCGCTTCCTTCTGATCTCCTTGTTAGCACATTTACTCTATATGTCAAATTATGCAAGGGTGAGTACTTATGTACTCAGCAAGACATATTATAAATAATTAAAGGTGAATAGATATGAATAAATAAACAATAATAAAGTAAAGGAATAATAAAAACCATAAATCATCTTTATCCTCAACATTTTAATTTTAAAACTGCTTATACTTCAGGAGTAGGAATCACCCTAATGACACAACTCCAGAATCGGGAGTACGGCACATTCGAATGATTTAATTCACCTCTGCAGAGACTGTCCAGCTTTACCCACACGATGCCCACAGCTAGCTAGGCTGAGAACAACAGAGCCGTTCGAAGGTCCCACTTACTACTAGTTACTGCACAGTGGGGTCTTGGTTCATCATAGTGGTCGAACTCTTGCCAGGCCTAGGCAAGGTATCTATATCGTCACACTTTCATGAATCCCACTGTTGTGAAACACTGCCGCCCAAACTCCTTACGCAAGTTCACCCCAATACCGCTCATAGAGCCACCCAACAGTCTTTCATATAGTGGGACAATGTACTAGGCTAAGTTCAATTACTTGATTGTGTGGATGGACGCCACTATGTCATTTCCATGGTATAAGGGGGTAATTATAATCCGGTTAAACCACCCAAAACTTTCCAAACTCCCCACACCAAAATCACAAACTTCATCATTCATCAACATTCATAATTCTCAACATTCATAATCTCAATTCATAAATGCCCATTTTAACCGGATTCCTAAGTTTGTAAAGTTGTTTGGAATAGTAAATCACATAAAATGATAACCAATGCTTCTTTTTATAACCTCATGCAATAATACTTGGAAGCATTTAACATCTACCCATGAGATGTTAAAAGGGTAAGGTATCATGCATAAAATGAAGATTATATTAAGTTTTCTATATGATCAAAATTTTAGCTATGTCTTGCCTTGCGCCTTAAGATTTCCCGCGGCTTTAGCGTAGCCATCTGGGTCCACGTCAGCTCCTTGGATGCTGATAAAACTTGATGTACGGTCTAACGTACGAATACGAAAAGATAGCAAATAAAGCCTATAAGCAAATTGCTACAAAGAAACGATAAAAACCAAGGAATAAATAAAATTGGAGCAAGGCGAAGGAAAAAAGGAATGGTTCAAAATAAATTTTAGTTTGGAAAACAAAAGAGAGGTTTTGGTTTCTAAAGGTTGGAATTGAGGAAAAGGATAAAATGGATAGGTGGGGTTGATTTGGTGGATTTGGTTTTCTAGTCGGTGCTAGAATGGAGTAGCACGACGGTTAGATATTTGGAGTAGTTAGCCGATGCTAAGGTTGGTAGCATAACGGCTAAATATCGGCTCGTCTAGTCGATGCTACAGTTAAGTAGCACAACGGCTAGTGAGTTAGGAGATTTGTGTGGAGCGGAACAGTGTTACTCTGCAGTTGTGAGTGACAACAGAGCGGCTAGGGTCGCACATAGCTCAAGGACTAGTGTGCGGCATGCATGTGGAGGTCGAGGGAGTAGTGAGGCTCCGACCACTGTACGCGTTGAGGCGTGGGGTGCGAAGAGCGACACTTCGACCTTAGGATTAGGTTATGCCGGGTTTTACGACCAACGGTTTGACGTCGGGGTTTGAGACCACGCGAACGTCTCCATAGAAGGTGTAAAGTTTCCACGGCGGCTTTTTGGTGGCTAAGGATTGTAAAAGAATGGTTTAAAGAAATTTGAGTTCAAATAGAGTTTTTTTAAAAATAGATTAAAGAAATAAAATTTAAAATGGTATTTTAAAAGAAATAAAGAAAAGGTAATTAAATAAATAAAGAAAGGATATTTAAAGATATTTAAAGATAATTTAATTTAAAAATGGTTTTAAATAAAATAAGAAAATTTAAAATTATAGGGATTTAAGATAAATCAAATAGGTTTAAATTAAAAGGGTATTTAAACAAAATTTTAAATAGGAAATTTGGTATCAAAAGGGAGGGTTTGAAATTAGATGGATTTAGATCAAAGGTTCACTGGAATTGGATTTGTGGTTGGAGAGATATGGGTGCCTAAAGTTTGGAATTTGAAATAACTCAAATAAAAGAAAAGGGATTACTGTACAGTGGGGCCCGCTTGTCATATGTCTCTTCTACCTCCTCTTCTTCTCTACTTCTTTGATCCGAGAGGAGGGAGAGAAGAGGGCGAGCGGGGCGCCGGCTCTCCGGTGGCCGGGAGGTGGGAACGCCGGTAGGAGATGGTGTTCCCGAGCAACGCGCACCCGGAGAGGGTGGTGGAAGGCGGAGGGAGAGAGAGGGATGGCCGGAACGGCGGCAACAAGAGCTCAGTTCCAGCGATAAGAGAAGGTGGTGGTGGCGGCTTATCCCAAGGTGGAGGGAGAGGGGAAAGGGGAAAAATGGAATCACCTGGGCGAGGCGGAGTTGGTGGCGCAAGGGTTTGGCTTGCGAAGCTTCGGTGAGGGAGATCGGCCGACGGTAGTGATGGCCGGACATGGGAGTAGAGAGAGAAAAAGGGAAAACTCCGTTGTGGAGAGGGAGAGGGGCGACCTCGTTGTCTATTTATAGGTCGCGGAGGTCGGTTTGGAGAGAAGGAGAGCGACTAAGGCACGGCGACGGCAGCGAAGAGAAGAGGAGCACGGCGCCGATTTCTTAGCAACGACGGAAAAGAGTTTGCGGCGGCGTGCGCCGTGCGCAACATGCGCACTGGGAGGAGGAGAGAGGCGGCTGGGCTGCAGACCCTGCTCGGCTGGGCTTCGGCTCAGTTGGGTCGGCAGCCCAAGAAGGAGGGAGGAAAAGAAAAGGGGAATGGGCCAAAAGAAAGGGAAATTGGCCCAAAATAAATAGGAAGTTTTGATAATTTTGTATAGAGGATTTGGAATGGAATTTAAAGGAGATGGAAACTAAAGGATAGATGGATGTGGAATTTTTTTAATCTTAGTCAAAGAATTGAATCTAAGGATTTTGAATGGAGGGTTAAATAAATTTTAAAGGAGATAAAATTTAAAAGAGAAACGCTTGAGGGTCTTTTGAACTTTATAAGAGGAATATAAAGTTTTTTTTTAAAAGCAAAAAGGAGTTTAAAATATTTTTAAAATAAAATCAAATATATTTATTTTGAGATATAAATTTTGAAAAGGATAAAAATAAAGATGCTCCAATTTAAATAGAATTCAAATAAGGACCAAATGTAAAACTTATCACGAAAGATTTAAAAATCAAACGGAAAGGAAAGACAATAATTTAACTTCTAACTTTGGATAAATTTGGGATGGTGGCAAAAATAGATGGAGGTAAAAACTAAGATTTTAGCCTCCAAAATATGTGGTATGGATTCTCAGTGAATTATTTGTGGCTAAAGGAAGTTGGACTTTGAATAGAAGGGATTGCAAATAAGTTTCTTAGCACAAGAGCAATCATTCAAATATTTGTGATAATATTATTCTTGTGCCAAGAATGTGATCAAGTCATAGGAATCAAATTGGTGGATGGATCAAAATAGGAACTTGGCCACAGAATATTTTGGATGGATTAAAAGGAGACAAAGGTTTTCGGAGATAGGTTTAGATAGGGGTTGATCCAAAATAAATTCCAATGGAAAGGGAATTATACTGGTTTAACCCTAAAGATAAAAATGGTTAATGGGATATAATAGAGAGTCGGGGAAATATTGGCCCAAGCTAAATGGTAGACTTTGTAATCTTGAATGGATAATTTAAATGAACAAGATTTCAAAGGGGTAATATTTGTGGGAGTATAGAACTGGATTTGGAAGTATATGTGGATGGGAATTTTTGTAGGAACAGAATTGGTGGTATATTGATAAACTCTAAAGGATGGGCATGTTGACTCAAAGGGGGATTGAAGAGGATATTTTTAGGGACTCTGGGAATATTTAGGTGGAGATCCAAAGGAAATGTATCAACATTTCATGTATTCTGGAGATAGTTGAGTGGAGATCAAAAAGAAAGTATTGCTTCAGGGGAAAATAAGAATTGGTATTTGTGGATGTTGGAGATGTTCAGGAATGGAATCAAAGGAAATATAATCTAGAGCCAAAGTTAGAGATTAAAGAAAATAAATAGAGAGGTTTTGTAAAATTTAAAAGAGAGCGATTAACTTTGCAAATAAAGTTTTAAATCCAAGTTAAAAGAAATTAACAGAAGGTAAGATCACTTCAATAGAAGAATCGAGAAGAGTGCAACTAAAATATTTCGCAAAAATATTTTTCCCTGAAAATTTGAGTCCATTACATTGCGCGGCGAACTTTCGTCTATTAGTACTAATATTGGCCTATATAGACACACGTGGGTGCGATGTTTTTCACTGGATCGAAGAAGTTAAAAAATATCAAAATATTAATTTTGAATATATTGGTGTCTACGTGGGTCCCACTTGCCACGTGAGCCAAAACCCGGGTATTATACTGCTTGAAACCTCGATTACACCGGTTTGCAAGTTGAGGGATGTGTAATATATGTATTGCGGTTCGAGGATGAAATTTAAACTCGGCTTCAACATATGGGAGATAAATTGAACTTATTCCTATATAGATCAGCTTCATTTGTTGATCTGTGATGGCTGAGGCCCATCAAGCGCGTATAACCCTAACCGCCGCCGCCCATCTGAAGAGCACAAAGCCCTAATTTAACCCTAAGGGAAATTGTTGCTCCTCCCAGAGCTCCGCCGCCAGGCCCCGCCCCATCTCGATCCGCCGCCATGGCCACCGCAGTCGCCGCCTCCCCCGCTCAGTCCCGCAAGACTGAGACCTACACCGACACCAAGCGCCGGGATGACGTCCGCGGCCTTAACATAGCCGCCGCGCGCGCCGTCGCCGACGCCGTGCGCACCTCCCTCGGCCCCCGTGGCATGGACAAGATGATCTCCTCCGGCGAGCAGGAGGTCATCATCACCAACGACGGCGCCACCATCCTCTCCCGCATGTCCCTCCTCCAGCCCGCCGCCCGCATGCTCGCCGAGCTCTCCCGCTCCCAGGACGCCGCCGCCGGCGACGGTACCACTACCGTCGTTGTCCTCGCCGGATCTCTGCTCCGCCGTGCTCAATCCCTACTCTCTGCTGGTGCCCACCCTACCGCGGCAGCTGACGCTCTCCACCGGCTCGCCACGCGCGCCGTTGAGGTTCTCCACGCCATGGCCATTCCCATCGAGCTCTCTGACCGCGACTCCCTCGTCAAGTCCGCATCCACAGCACTCAACTCTAAGGTCGTTTCCCAGTACTCCAGCCTTCTCTCCCCCCTCGCTGTCGATGCCGCCCTCTCCGTTGTTGATCCCGCTCACCCGGACCTCCTCGACCTCCGAGATATCCGCGTCGTTAAGAAGCTTGGTGGCACCGTTGACGACACTGAGCTCATTCGCGGCCTCATCTTCGATAAGAAGGCTAGCCATGCTGCTGGAGGACCAACTCGGGTCGAGAATGCTAAGATTGCTGTCATACAGTTCCAAGTTTCACCTCCCAAGACAGACATCGAGCAGAGTGTCATCGTATCAGATTACGCGCAGATGGATCGCATCCTCCGTGAGGAGCGCAATTACATTCTTGGGATGGTGAAGAAGATCAAGGCTTCTGGATGCAATGTTCTGCTCATTCAGAAAAGCATCTTGCGTGATGCAGTTACTGATTTGTCACTTCATTATCTTGCAAAGGCTAAGATCCTGGTTGTGAAGGATGTGGAGAGGGATGAGATTGAGTTCATCACCAAGACCCTGAACTGCCTGCCAATTGCTAACATCGAACATTTCCGTGAGGACAAGCTTGGTTATGCAGATCTTGTTGAGGAAGTTTCTGTTGGGGAGAGCAAGATTGTCAAGATCATGGGCATTAAGGATATGGGAAGGACAGCTACTGTGCTTGTCCGGGGGTCCAACCAGTTAGTAATTGATGAAGCTGAGCGCAGTCTTCATGATGCCCTTTGTGTCATCAGGTAATACTTCGCTCGAATAATGATTGAAATGTTGTATGCGTACAATTTTCTTGGTTGTAGTCAACTTCTCCAGAGGTCTTTTTGAATACGGTGAGCGGGCAATGTCTTAATGGCAGATAATGCACATATATAGGGTAGGGCATGACCAGTATTTATAATTGCATTGGAATCAAAGCAAATATGTTTTTTTTTTTGGTTCTGGTCCACTAAGATCATGCTCCAAATCTTTTATTACTTTGTTTCATAACATTCCCCATGCAGGAGTATCATTTGTTTTTACCATCTATATATGCACATTTTGAAGCAACAACTTTTTTCTCTAGTATTAGTTATTATTTCAGAAAGTAATACATTATGCATCTACTTTCATTATTTTATAGCACTGGCCTGATTAATTGTATACATTTGTTATGAGTTAGATAGAGAACACAGGCTTGCCAATGAATATAGATTGAATGCAACTTACATAGCGTTGAAACAATAAATTTTAGACATCTGTTGTTGTATTCACTGTTACAAACTTAAATTTTAATGGGTCAATTGGCAACTATTTTCCATGTCTGTGGTTTGTGGTATAGACTTTTGTCCCTCGTAGACTTTACAGTCAATTTATGTCAAATTGTCACTGCAATAAACATTTATCACATGGTAATGGTATTTTAATATGCTCAGTAAGTTTGCTGCCAGTTATAGAAACAAGGCAATGGGTTTGGATAAACCACATCGCTGGAGATGATTTACTCTTGCCATGTTACTTGTACACAGTTGCAACAATTGGCTATAAAAATAGGTGATTTTCCTTATCTCCCATATATGCTGCATTAGGCATGTTTGGAGAAAGGATTGTTCAAAGCCTGTCAAGTGTGCTAGAGGACTACTCACTAGTAGTTGTAAGAGTGTTTTAATTGTGTTTGATGAATCTCAAGGCCAGGATCTTAGGTTGTCCAGTCAGTGCTGAATGTTTACCATTCACTTTATGATTGCTCATCTTCTACAATGCACTTTATAACTGCTCATCCCTTCTCTTGTGGCATTTTAACAACAATGCTGTGCCAAAAGTGTGGCAGAAAGAATCATTTGCCACAGCTGTGGCAATAATTTGTAAATATTTTTCATCATATGGGGCATGGCTGTTGGGAAAGTGTGTAGTTTTGCAGGAAATCAAATACTATTGTAGCAAATTATGACATTTAACCATATACCCTCTATATTTTGAGGAATAAACTTATATATGTTTTTTAAGTTAGTATTTTTTGTAAAGACTATCTTCAGGCGTATGTTTGTTTTTATTGATGCCAGTGAACATCCTATGTAATATTTTCTTTCAGAATTAGCATCTCCATGACTGCCATAATTTTGTAACTGCTGCTACAAATTATATTTTTCAGTAATTCCATCTTGCTATCTGTTTTGCATGTGAGCACCTTTTAAAATATTATCTGGTGACCTGACTTGACTCTCTTATGATATCATCAATTATCCATTCTATGAACCTATCTTAATCTAATGATAATTTATTAGTAAATATATGCATTTGTTTTATAATATCCCTTGCTTAGACTCTATTGTGTTCTTTAATTATTGTGATACTTTATGAATATTTATAT